TCTCACACCAAACCCTTACCTCCACTTGAAGACATGGAGGTGAAGCCAAACATTCCTGCACGCTCTTGAGAAGGATGCTCACTAAGAAAAAAGGAGGAGCAGGAACTGGGTCCCCTTTATCTTGTCTTCCCTCTCCTCTCTTAAGGAGATTTAGAGAATTAATATATTTTTCTCACTCGGGATCACAGAAGCATAGACTGTGAGAACTCTTCTTAATCTCCTACAATCTGGTTTCTGACCTCACCATTCAACTGCAATTAGTCTCATTGCCAAATCCAGTGGCCTTTTCTGAATCCTCACCCTTCTTGACTTCCTTGCAGTCTCTGACACTGTCACCCTTTTCATCACCCTCTTCTCTTCGAGACTCTCCTCTCTCTAGGTTTTCACGACATTGCCCTTTCCCGGTTCTCCTCCTGACTATCTAACCATGCCTTCTCAGTCTCCTTAGTAGGATCTTCAACCATGTCATCCTTACTCATGATGAGTGTTCCCCAATACTCTGTCCTGGGCCCTCTTCTCTTCTACCTCATACCATTTCACTTGTGAGCTCATTAGCTCCCATGGATTCAAATATCATTTCTGTGCTAACAATTCTCAAATCTAACCCCTCTCTGCTGACTTCCAATCTTGCATCTCCAACTGTCTATTAGAAATAGCAAATTAGATATCCCATAGACATCTTAAACTCAACATGTCCCAAAACAGCCTTATTATCTTTTCCCCAAAACCATCTCCTCTTCGTATTTCCTTATTTCTGTTGACAGCACCTCCATCTTCCCATTCACTCAGGCTCAAAATCAAAGTTCTATTTTTTTTTTTGATGAAGCATTTGGGGTTAAGTGACTTACCCAGAGTCACACAGCTAGTGTTTGTTTGAGGTCAGATTTGAACTCAGGTCCTCCTGACTCCAGAGTCAGTGCTCTATCCACTGCACCACCTAGCTGCCCCAATCTAAGTACTATCTTTGACTCCTCACTCTCTCTAACCCCACCCCATATCTTAGCTATTGCCAAGGCTTAGTGATTTTGCCTTCATAATATCTCTCACATACACCCCCCTTCTTTCTTTAGCCCTAATATAGGTGTTTATCACCTCACACCTGCAATAACCTGCTGGCTGGTCTGCCTGCCACAAGTATGTCTCTCTCCAATCCCATCTGTCTTCTGTCCACTCAGCTGCCAAAGTGATCTTCCTAAAGTGCAGATCTGACTGTGCCACACACACACACACACACACACACACACCCCACACACACTCAATGAATGGCTCAAATATAAAATCCTCTATTTGGCATTCAAAGCCCTTCATAACCTGCCTTCCCCTACCTTTCCAGTCTTCTTCTACTTCCCCTCCCCCTTCCCCACTCACACTTCTATCCAGTGGCACTGGCTTCCTCCCTGTTCCATGAACAAGACACACCTGGGCATTTTTCCTGGCCGGCCCCATGCCTGGAATTCTCTCCCTCCTCATCTCTGCTTCCTTGGCTTCCATCAAGTCCCAGCTAACACTGCCCCTCCTAACAGGAGGCCTTTCCCGTTCCTCTTAATCCCAGTGCCTTCTCTTCTGATTATCTCCAGATTATCCCCTTCAGAGCTTGTTTGAACGTAATTCTTTGTCAGCTGTGGGAAGTCCTCAAGGGCAGGTGCTGTATTTTGCCTTTTTTTGTATCCCCAGGTGCTTAGCACAGTGCCTGGCACACAGTAGGTTTAATAAGTGTTTATTAACTGACTGACAGAAAGGACCTTAAAACATGTAACATAAACTGTTAGAATGGACCTTAGAACACGGAATGTTAAAACTAGAATTTCAGAACATTGAACACGAGAGCTATAAGAGACATAAGATACGGACCCTGTAATCCCTGGAGAAAAAGTTCACATGGATTTATTTCAGCAGGTGAGAGGAGACACTATGAGGGGCTCATACTGACTAGAGAAGAGATATGCTCCCATTCGGCCGTGGGGTGGGCTTGAGCATGTGCCACAGGAGGGGAGGGGGCCCTGCTTCTCTGTGGCTTGGGACTCTGATTCCCCAGAATATTTAAGGCAAAATCCCCCTTTTTGAAACCTGCCCATTTCCTTCTTTCCTCCCCTCGGATCAGCAACAAAGGCTTGTGGAAGGGATTTTTCATTAAAGGAGGGAGTAAGGATAGCTGTTGCCTGGGAATTATTCTTCTCTCAGATATTGGGGGATAACAAAGGGAAGGCAATAGCTGGGAGAGTTGCTAAGCAACTGTCTGTCAGGAGAACTCCAAAGTAAATGAGCCAAGTGAAGGGAACAGTGCCCCTCAACCCATCCCCTGCCCCTGCCCCCTAACACATCCCCCTCCCCCACCCCCCAACACATCCCCCCTTCTCCTCCCTTCCAGTAGCATTGCTATTTCTGGAGCTGAAGGCATAAGTTGAGTATGGGAGAGAAGAGCTTCAGGCAGGGTCCATGGCAATGATCTGGGCCCCAAAAGCTGCATTGTAGCCCCAGGGCCTGCTATGAGGCACTGAAAATGTCTTCTCCCTCCCCTTAGGGCAGTCTGGCCTCTCCTTAAAGGTTCCCCCCAGCTCATGCTGGAGAGAGGCTTGTCTAAACTTGGGATCTGCTAAAAATCCCTCTTCTGCTTTCCCCCTCAGGGGTGTGTGGGAGAGGAGGACAGTGAAAATGTATGAGAGTATAACGCCAAGCCAGAATAGGGACCGCTTCATGCAGTCTCTTCATCTTGGGAGAAAGATCATTCAGAAGCCTGGAAGTACCTGGGAAAACAGGAGCTTCTAAAGTTGGTCTCTACCCTGGCCTTCTCTTGTTGGGCCTATACTGTCAAAGGAAACTGGGTTGGGCTCTTTAATGAGAACCGTCTTGCCTGTGCAGGTATCTGGTGGGACCTGGGATGGGGTGGGGGAAGGAGTCACGGGAAAGAGAGTGAGAAGAAATTCCTACTCATCCTTTACAGGGCTGTCTCCATGAAGCCTTCCCTAATACCCACTTCCCCCACTGAACCCCAGATGTCCTCATCACATATTACAATTAACAGTGTACATGTTTGACCTCCCTACTAGAATAGGACAGGCACTGAGTTTTATTAAAACATTGTATCAACTCCAATGCCTAACGCAGTTGGTCAGTCATAGATGTGAATGGATTGAATTGCCTCTTTTTGTATCCCCAGGGCTTAGCATAGTGCCTGGCACACAGTAGGCACTTTATTGACTGATTGATTGAAGCAAGATTAGGTAGGAAGGAGCTCCTGCCTGGCACTGGTCTGAGAACCTGCCCCCTGCCTTCCTGTGTCCCCTCCCCCACCTCAGTGGTTCAGACCCCACCTGAGCAGCTTATTATACTGCAGGATAAAAATAACCCGACGTGCTTTCTCAGATGCATACTTGAAAACATGCAGGTTGAAATGATGGAAAATTACTATATTCTTTTCAGTTTCTGTTCCCCACCTCCTTAGCCTGCCCACACACACAGACAGGTTGTTATCTCCAAGGAGGGATCAGGAGACACAGGGCACCCAATGGGACAAAGCTTATAGATGGAGGAAGTCAATGGGATGGATTCAGAGTCTGGGGGCAAACCAGAATGTCCCTCCCCCACCCAAGGGCAGTGAACCAAGCCAGGAGGGCAGTGGACCACCAAGATGTGGCTGTGAGACAGCTGGAAGTGTCCTCCACCAGGTCAATACGACTGGTAGAGCAGTGGCTAACGAAGATTAAAATGGATGGTTAATCCCTATGCCAACCTGAGTCAGAGTGGGGTCCAAGGTGACCGGGGTTTGCATGGCAGGCCATGGGCTCCGGGAGGACACCAGCATCTGCACCAACTGAGCTGTCCAAGGTCTGACCCAAAGGACCAACAGGTCCCTGTCCCTTCCTCATACCTAGCAGCAGCCACCTACTTCTCTAGGGAGAAGAACCAAAGCTGCCCTCTTCATTTAATGACGTCAACCAAGCCGAGAGGGTGATGGGACCTTGGAGCCCCAGTGATTTATTGAGGAGGTTCTGATGCACGAGGGAGAGAACAGCCTGTCAGGCTGGGGGAGCCCACTTTGAACATCCCTAGAGCTTTCTCTTCTTGGTGGGCCAGCTACCTGGGGAGGGTGGGGGATGGGCAGCCTTGGGTCTCCTTCAGCTACTGAGGAAGCAGCCACGTTTGTGCCACTTGCGGTCACGGATACGCCGGACGGACTGGATTTGGGGCTGATTGGCATCCCACTCATTCCAGTGGCGGTACTCTCCCCGCTCAAAGACATATTGGCGCCCTCGGTAGCCAGGAAATTCATAGCCTACCCACCTGTTGAGGTTGGGAGAGATAGAAATTGGCATTAGTCCTGTGAGGAGGGGACCAGGCTTGGACCAAAGGGCAAGCCGGTAGCAGAAAATGCTTGATATTCCAGATAAGATGGTGGCTAGGTGATGCCGGAATGCCTGGAGCCAGGAAAACCTGAGTTCAAATCCAGCCTCAGACACTTACTAGTTATGTGACCCTGGGCAATTCGCCTTTATCTGCCTCAGTTTCCCCAACTGTAAAATGGGCATAATAACAGCACCTACCTCCTAAGGTTATTGTTGAGGATCAAATGAGATAATACTTAGCACATAGTAGGTTGCTTAATAAATGCTTGCTTCCTTTCCCTATAGTACAGAGAGTGCTGGAATCAGGAACACTGGAGTTCACATCTGGCCTCAGACATTTAGTTAGCTACATGACCCTGGGCAACTCACTTAACTGATGTTTGCCTCAGTTTCCTCATTTATAAAATGAGGGTTGCAATAGCACCTTACCTGTGGTTCATAGTTAATGATGCCTTATGGTTCTGCTCTATCACAGTTCTGTGAGGTGGGTAGAGCAAATATTATTATTTCCATTTAAATGTGAAGAAGAATTAGAGTTTGCACAAGGTTATATCCAGCCTAGTAGGAAAAAGTCCAAAGTGTGGGAAGATATCTCAGGTCAAAGGCTAGGGGTGGAGAAGAAGGAAGAGAGGAAGGGGGGGGTGGCTCTGCACTTACGTTCCATTGATGACTCGGATGCTGGCCACCCGATCCTGGAAGCCGTGAGCCCAGAGACTGGGAACGTCGTCATCCACAATCTCCATCTTGCGGCCACCGTAGCCTGGATTCTCAAACAGGTGGATTTTGTGCTCTGGGCTGTCCTAGAAGGAGGCCTCAGAACAATCAGTCAAGCCATCCCTGATCCTGCCATGCTCCCACGCTCACATAACCGGCTACCATTGCCAGAATGGGATCAAAACGGACTGGGGGACAACGGGTCAGCTGTGGCTCTCTGCTTAGAGACCATTCAACCTAGAAGGGCCGTTGTCCACACTGCTCCCCAAGTAATCTTCTTAATGCACCATTATGATTGGGTTACTCCTATACTCAAAAACTGTAAGTGGCTCCCTATTACCCACTGAAAAACATACAACCTCCTCATTCAAGCTACACTGACCTACTTCATAATAATTATAATAACAACTGACATTTATATACTGCCTACTATATGTGCCAGATGCTATGCTAAGCATTTTACCATTATTACTTCATTATTGATCACAACAACCCTGAGAGGTGTTTTTATTATCCCCATTTTACAGATGAGGAAATCGAGGCAGAGATTAAGTGACTTGCCCAGGATCACACAGCTGGTAAGTGTCTGAGGGCAGATTTGAACTTGGGTCTTTCTGAATCTAGGCCTGGCATGCTACCCACTTCACAACCTAGCACGCGCTCACACACACACACACACACACACACATACTCCAACTTCTGGCTCTGTATCTTTGCACTAGTTGTCCCCCATGTCCACAACATTCTCCCTCCTTCCTTTGGCCACCTGGCTCCCCTGGTTTCCTTCAAGACTCAGCTCAAATTCTGCCATCCTCGAGGCTACCTTCACTGCTCCTCCCTTTCCTTCCAAGTCCACATTCCACTTAACCTGTATGTACCTTGGCCCATAAATACTTCCATATTATCTCATGTACTCAAATGTGGATCCGTTATGGCAAGGGGCTTTGTCTTTGCCCTTCTTTGAGTCCCCAGTACTTAACACAGTGCCTGGACACAGTAGGTACTTAATGGTGCTTGCAAACTAATTGAGTCAAGCCTCCCCAGTCTGGGTCCCCATTATCTCATTCTATTCTCCTTTATATAATCTGTGCCTGAGCCAAGCTGGAATATTCTCTACTCCTCCACGTATGAAAGAGGCTTCCTTTCTCCCAGGCCAGCTTAGATATCATTTCCTCCAGAAAGCCACCCTCCCTCCATCCCCATCTCCATCCCCTCTTCTCAGATTCCTTATAAGACTTTGGCTTTATCCTTATCACCATCTATCTCATATCAGAGTTCTATCACACCCCCTCCTAACAGGCCACAAAATTCTTGGGTCATTTTTCCATCTTTGTACCCCTGGACTGAGCACAAGGAGGAACTTGATGAAATCTTGTCCTCAAAGAAGAGATATGAGAAGATACCTTCACTCACTCTTTTCAAGAGTGGGGGTCCTTGGGTGTGAAACATTGCATACATTATCAGATTTTTTTATGTTTTGATCAATTTTGTTGATCTCTTTCTTATCTTACTCTTTTTTAAATGATTATTTCTTTTATAAGGCATGGCTTTCTGGAAAGGGGAAGGAAAAGGGATACATGGAGAAATCTTAGGTGATGTTGAAACAAAAGATCTTAGGGGCAGCCAGGTGGCAAAGTGGATAGAGCACTGGCCCTGGACTCAGGAGGACCTGAGTTCAAATTCAGCTTCAGACATTTATTAGCTATGTGACCCTGGGCAAATCATTTAACCCCAATTACCTCAAAAAATCCCAAAAAACAAAGTCTTTTAAAAATTATTTTAAAATAAATTAGGAGTTAAGACATTGTCCTTTCCTTTTTGAAAAAGCAAATAAAAAGAAATATTTGTTGAATTGAGTGGAACTGAATCAATTGACAGATGGGAGAAGTCAGAAAATGCCCACCCAGGGCTGACAGTCTTCCTGGATCATGGCTAGGGTTTCTCCATCTCTTAAATGTCCTGGAGAGAAGGACTGCTTTGAACATGATTAAGACGATAAGGACTGTAAGCCTTGTCAGAGTTCAGTCCAGCCTAACTCACAACCTTCCCCATCCTTCTGGAATTTCCCGGGTGGGGAGGCCCAGCCCCCAGCCCCATTGGGAGGAAGAAGCCTATACTCACAATGTGTAGGGGCCTAAGGGAGAGGAGGCTGTCGCTGTGATGGCTGTTGGACCAGGCATCCCACCTAGGGTAATCTCCCTTTTCTAGGACAAACTGTTCTCCCCGGAAGGCGCAGCGTTCAAATGCCAACCATCTGGAATGAGAAAGCCTGGATTGATATCAGCTGTTGGAATTGGGAGAGGCCTTAGAACACAGAATGTCAGAACTGAGGAAAGGACCTTAGGACAGGAAATGTCAGACCTGGGAAGACCCTTAGAACAGGGAATGTCAGAGCTGGGAGAACTCTTAGAATATGGAATGTCAGAGCTAAGAGGAACCTTAGAACAGAGAATGTCAGAGCTAAGGGGAACCTTAGAACAGGGAATGTCAGAGCTGGAAGTGCCTTTAGAATAGGGAGTGTCAGAGGTGAGAAGGCCCTCAGAACACAGAGAATCAGAGCTAGAAGGAACCCCAGGGATCATCTAGTACAATCTCTCCATTTTACAGGTGACAAAACTGAGGTCCAGAGAGCTGCAAACTCTTGCTTGCCATCACACATGTAGCAGTGACCAGAGCCAGGATTCCAAGCTGACCCTCAGACTTACAATGCAGTGCTTGACCTCAGGTCACCTGGTAGATGGTCAGTATGAGGGCCTCCTTTGTCTGTTTGCTCGGGCTCTTTGTACGCTCCCCCCCTTCCCCAGCCCCCTTGTACATGCAGCACTTACGGGCCAGATTCCACCTGGATGGAGCCCACCTTCTCCAGCAGACTTTCAGTCAAGTTGGGGCACTCAGTGGAGAAGTCACACTTCTTTCCCTGAAAGTTCTCCAGCTCGTAGACCAAGACCTGGAACAAGCAGTGTCCTGTGAGTGCCCCCAAACAAGGCCCTTGTCACTCTGGTTTTCTGCAAGCTTGGGTTCTCCCCAACCCAGATTACATCTTTGCTTCTTGGAAACACCAGGCAAATCCTACAGCAACCAGGCAGTCACCTGGAAGAGAAGGCCCACACTTCCCTCTGCTGGCCAAGCAAATCTGGCTCAGCTGGGCACTCTGGGCTTTTTGCCACCAATGGACCCAACTGCCTGAGCTGTCCTGGGGAAGACATGAAAAGGGAATAGCCCTCGGACATGGTCTGTCAATGGAACCTGGGATCTGCCCTTCCTTGTGCCAGACTTTGGCTTACTTGATTAAATCATAGAATCTTAGAGCTGGGAGGGCCCTTAGAACAGGGAATGTCAAGACTGAGAGGGGGCTTAGATCAGGGAATATCAGGACTGGGAGGGATCTTAGAACAGGGAATGTCAGGGCTGGGAGGGATCTTGAAACAGAGAATATAAAAATTAAGGCTCAGATTGTAGCAGGGACATACCCCAAGTTTTCACCCCATCTGGCTGTATATCTGTGGCCTGAGTGGATGTCTCTCCCACCCAGCGACTGCAGGCACTGAACACAGCCTTCTGTCCCTTCTCCTTGCTCAGGAGAGGAAGCCCAGAGCCCCAGGGCCAGTCTAAGCCCAACAGATGTCCATCCCTCCATGAACTGCACACTGTACCTTGAAGGGTCCTCCCAAGCCGCCATGGCTTTTCCCAGCAGCTGCCTGCTCTGGAACACTTTGCTGCTCCATCATCTTATGACAAAGCTGTCTAGATGCCAAAAAAGAAAAAAAAGACCCAAAGTTTCGACCTGAGAGTCCTGGCTAGGTCATTTTGAGGCAAGGGAGGGACTTAATTGATTGGGATTTAGGAAAAATCCCTCAAAATCACATTCTGTGAAAGATTTTCAGTCTTCCACTTCAAAAGTGAAAAGCACTTCACACCCTTCGCACACAAAGGCAGTGATCCACACATGTGGAATTTTAAACGCTGGGGGGCCACACAGAGAGGCAAGCAGACACGCACACACAGATGCTGTGACCCACACGCACTTGTACACAGTCGTGCACATGGTTGTGCATATGATCACTCTCACTGACACAATTGCGGGAAATCTGAGGACTGGGCTACTCCTGATGGTCAGAACCCAAGAGAAAACTGGACTTTGTAGCGAGAGTCAATCTCCCCATTCATTGGTCTGTGGGACTGGCCCAGCGCCCAGCTGGAACTCAGGGACCCAGAATGAAATGTTCCACTTTCCCAGACTTTCCCAGTGGCAAAGCAGGGTCACAGATGGCTTCAGCCTAAATAACCACAGAAATTGGGTCACTACATACCCCCCTCCCGCCCCAACCAAAAGGGGCTGCCCCAGCCTCCAGGCAAATGAGGCCACTCCAAAGAAGACAATCCCTGCCAAGACCTCAGGGTTGCAGACCATTGTTATTCTATTGGTAACCACCCTCCTCCCCCAATACAAACCAGGTTTTCATGCTCTGGCCTTTGGCAAGGGACAAATGGCCTTCCCAGGTTCTCCCACCTAGCAATAACCCACAAAAGGAACCTGAAAGCCTGAGCAGGGATTGATCCTCAGACCCCTCAAATAATCGCCTCCCCCCCCAAAAAAGAGAGATAAGTCGCACCGCCCCTCCTCCCTCCCTCCCTGGCCTTAACCTAGCCTCTGTTACCTCTTAGAGAGAAAATGGACCAGCAGGGATGGGGCTGGATCTCCCCCAGGCCCCTATTTATGGCAGCGTTATGACCAAGCCAGCACATTCTGCCCTGCTTTGCCAGCAGCCCTGTCCGCTAAATTCCCTCCATTTGACTTCACTTGAATAGAAGGGGCCCAGGTGCTGGCATATGGGAGTCCTCCTCTCCACCGTCCCTGCCGGCCAATGCAGAGGGGATCACTCTCCCCTCCCAACCCCTCTGTCTCACTCCATCAGCATTATTTCGGGAAGAGGGTGGAGAGGGGCGTCGGGGTGAAGGAAACCTTGAATGGGGGTAATAAAGCATCCCCAGCCTCGGCAGAGACAGAGAAACTCTCCAAGCCAGGGCAAAGCGAGGAGGGTGGAGGTGAGGGTGTGACCGGGTTCATAGGGTCACAGATGTCGAATTGGAAAGGGCCTGAGAGGTCACCTAGTGTAACCCCTTCATTTTACAGATGGAGAAACTGAGGCACAGAGTGATTGAGTGACTTGCCTAGGATCACACAGCAAATAAGTGTCTGAAGCAGGATTCAAACCCAGATCTTGCTGAATACATGTCCTGTGCTCTGGACACTACCCCATGCTTGCCTCTGTGAGTTGTGGAGTGAAAAGTTTGTTTAGAACATTGAACTCATTTTCTCATGGAAACAACACTACACATGGTGGGTAGTTCCAAGGTTGGACCACAAAAGCTAGGCTCTTGTAGCTTAATTGGGGTGTCAAGACTGCCAGAGAACCCATTCCAAGTTGGGGTGCGAGAAACAGATGTCCCCCAGATGCTCTCTATTTGTGAACCATGGAATACCAGGGTCTCAGAAGAATGGCCGGTGAGCAATGTGTGCATGGGAAGCAGTGCATGTCACCTCCCCAGGCACACGCGTGACTAGAAAAGAAGAAAGAAAGGGAAAGAGCATTTATTAAGCACCTACTATGTGCCAGGACCTCACCATGCTAAGATCTTTACAAATAGGATCTCATTTGATCCTCACAACAACCCTGGGAGGGAGAGAGGGGCTATTGTTATCACCATTTTACAGATGAGGAAACCGAGGCTCAGAGGAGTCAGGTTAAGTGACTTGCTCAGTCACACAGATAGTACATGTCTGAGGCAGGATTCAGTCTTAGGTCTTCCAGCTTCCAAGTTCAACACTCTGCGTGCTGAGCCACCTACGCGACCCAGAATATAGGAATATTATCGATACTCTATAAAGTAATGGGGATAAAAAGGTGTTTCTGGTACATCTGAGAGAGATAATTGGGGTAGAGTATACCAGGGAAAAACAGATGCAAAAGGGGAATCCAGATCTAGGGGGGACATAGAGGAAAGTTCAAGAGAGAAGGTTTCATTAGGTCAACTCAACCTGATTTCCCTCCCAATGTAACACAGAACATCATTTTACCATTTAGGTAGTAGAACCCTTTAGGCCATGGAAAACTCCAAATTCCTTAGCAAGACCCTTATCTGGCTGCTCAGGCTCCAGCCCTCAGATCATATCTCTGGAAACCTCCAAATTCCTTAGCAAGACCCTTATCTGGCTGCTCAGGCCACAGCCCTCAGATCATATCTCTGGAAGCCTCCATTGTGAGAAAGTTTGCAGAGCATTATCATATCTAGATAGAGGGAGAGGGGTGTCCTTGAAAAAAAAAAAACTCTTCCTCTTGCCAGACTTCAAAGATCCATCCCCCTCCCTGTCCTGTATACTCCCTATATAAACCCTGGCTCGACCCCTGATGAGGGCTGCTTGATTTGGATGTGAATATCCCTGGCAGCCGCGAGCTAATAAAGTCCACAATTTAAAATTAGCTTGGGTGGTCAACTCGCTCATTTCTCGGTATAACACCAGCACGCTCCTGGCCCCATGTACAGAGCCATCAGTTTGGAGGTGGATTTTAGAGGCCAAGTCCAACACCCTCCTTTTGTATATGAGGAAATTGAGGCCCAGAGATGTCAAGAGACTGGTCCAAGGTCACACAGCTAGCGAGTATCAGAGACAGATTGAACCTTGGTCTTCCAGACTCTAAATACGAATCAGAGGTTCCCAAATTTATTTGGCCAACCACCCCTTTTTAAAAAATTATTCCAGGGGCAGCTAGGTGGCACAGTGGATAGAGCACCAGACCTGAAATCAGGAGGCCCTGAGTTCAAATATGACCTCAGCCCAAATACTTGACATTAGCTGTGTGACCTTGGGCAACTCACTTAACCCCAACTGCCTAAAAAAAAATTACTCAGCGGCCCCCCCCAAAATCTACTTTCTTTAATGGTTTTTTTAAAAAAAATTTGCATCATTTCAAAAAATATTTTTTTTTAAAAATGATGCATCTTAAATGTAAGAATTTATTGTAAATTTGGGGGGGGTTACCTGCATTGAAAGTTTGATGATGCAATATTGCATTATGCAGCCATAGAGTATCATACCGTCAATGAGTCATCATACATACATATTCCTGCCAATGCATGCTGGGCTTCCCCACAACACCCTCCACGCTCACCTGCACTTCACGATCGTCATCAGAACAATGAGTGGGACACAGGGGGCGGTGGTGGGGTCTATTTCTGCCGAAAGAACTGGGCAAGTCAAGTCACAGAGAGAGCAGGGGTCAAGATAAGGACCAGCCAGCCTAGCTTGGCCAGAGTGTGAATGAGGGGTAGGACGAGATAAGGTTGTGAAAGCTCCTCAGAAACTAAGCAAGTGTGGGGAGCCTTGAATATCAAAACAATGATAATAACAGCCGACATTCCTATGGCTCTCTAAGGCTTGCAATGTAATAATAATGATGATGGGGCAGCTAGATGATTCAGTGGATAGAGCTCCAGCCTCAGATACTTCTGAGATGTGTGACCCTGGGCAAGTCACTTAACCTCTGTCTGCTTCAGTTTCCTCATCCGTAAAATGGAGATATCGATAGCGCCTTTGTGATAATGAACAAATGAGACAGTAATTGTAAAGTGCTTAGCACGGTGTCTAGCACATAGCACGTTCTTTATAAATGTTATCGTTGTTATTATTATTATCATAATAGCAATTAGATGGTGCAGTGGATAAAGTGCTGGGCCTAGAGTCAGGAAGACCTGAGTTCAAATCTGGCTTCAGACACTTACCAGCTGTGTGACCCTGGGCAAGTCACTTCACTCTGCTTGCCTCAGTTTCCTCATCTGTAAAATGGGCTGGAGAAGGAACTGGCAAACAAAGAGCTTTACGAATATTGTCCCGTTTTATCCTCCCCACAATCCTGGCAGGGAGATGGGAGGTAAATTATTAGCTCCATTTTACAGATGAGGAAACTGAGGTTGTGAAAGGAGAAGTGATTTGCCCAGGTTTCCCATAGCCAGTAAGTCAAAGATTGTCTAAACCAATCTACACTACTCCCATTCAAACCGTCTATTCACTGCGACACCTCGTGGCGATAGCATGACTTACACCCACTGTCTCATTTGACACGTTTACACCTGCATTCAGAAGGTAACAGAGGACGCCACTGGAAGTTGGGTCCAGGAGGAGCCCAAAGAGTCCAGTCTCTCTAAAGATCAGGGCAGCTAGGACAAGAAGGTAACTAGGATCTGGGAAGATTCCTTGAGACCTCCTCTTTCTCCAGGTAGCCAAGGAGAGCTCAGTCCACAGGAGCAGAAAAAGCAAGAAATAAGAAAAATGTCAGAAGTCTGGCAGAGCCAGGAGGATGTAGGTATAGGTGGTACTCAGGTAGCTGCATGGAGAGATCTGGGACTCAGGGAAAGAACCAAAGACTAGGAGAGCTAAAGGGGACTTTGAGAATTTGAGGGACCTAAAATTTAGCAATCCGACATTATCTTATACCATTCCAGTTTTATCTATGTTTTCCCAAATTTTTCCATTTTGGATCCACCCTCCCCAACATTCTGGAGGCCTTCCTCTGCTTCCTTTGGTCTCCTGGGTGAACTATTACAGGACCATAGCATAAGGGTGGGGAACAGCTCCTATCCCAATTAATCACAAAAAGCCCATTCACTGGATGGATTGAAATTAATGAATTGAATCCCTTTATGAATCTTAAACTAGATGTGATTAAGTCCTTAATCAATTAGAAGGGATCACAGTGGCTTTTGGGTCATTAGCTAAAGACAGGTGATGCCACACAGGAAATATCTTGTGATTGGCAGAAGAGCAGGTCACGCTTTTTGGATGACCTATCAAAACCTAGTTCAGCACCAGTCATTAACTCGGAAAGGACTCCAAATTTTGGAGCTAAAAATGGGAGAAAGGTAGCTCTGGGCTTCTGTAACAGCAACAATCATTAGAGACTAGAAGAAAGCTACTCCTAAGGGGATCTTCATGAGTAGTCCACAAAGAGAGAAAAAGACGTCCATTATCTGGGAGCTGGGAGTGACCCCTTGGGCAATGAGTCTCCTATGCAGATGCTTCACTACTTGTTTACTATAGATTTGGGTCCACTCTCCCCAGGGATCTTGTTTGTGCAAGGGAAAGTATGACCCTGGTTTAGGAAAGGGAGAAAATTGCTTTTGCAAAAATTGTCCTTGTTATACTTGTTTAATAAATACCCTTTCTAAAAGCAAATTCAGTTTGACTGAGAACCAATGCTAAGTACACTGGTGGGGGCTCATGAGCAACAGTAGCAGAAAGTCCCACCACCTTAGGGCTAACCTAAGGAGAGAAGTAGTCAGCCACTCTCTGGGGATCTATTCCAACAATGTGGGTTCATGTTGAAGGATTATCCCTGGAGGGAGTGCTAGAACTAGGATTACAGATTTTAGCTGGAAGGAACTTCAGAGGCTATCTGAGGAAACCCCCACCTGATTTTACAGATGAGGAAATTAGACCCAGAGGTGAAGTTACTTGCTCAGGGGCATACAACTAGTGTCAGAGGCGGGATGTAAATCAACCTCTAACTTCAGTCCGTCAATAAGCATTTATTAAGTTCCTGCCATGTGCCAAGCACTCCAGTGTGCTTTCTTTCAGGTCATAATTGACCTTGTGATGGTGTAACTGTTCTGTCGGAGGAAGGGAATTGTATTTTTCTTAGCTTAAGATGAAAAATGCCATTTTAGAAAAAGCCTCCATTTCAGCATAAATGACCAGTTATATCTAATCCCTATGTTGTTTCTTCCTTGGACAAGACCAGCCATAAGACAGAGTCTGCCTTGAACTGGACCGCCAAGCCAATGGCAGTCTAGCAGACTAGGAAGTCTTTGTCAGCCCGCCCTTGGAACACAGCAAACTATGCCCTCAATGACTGTCTGGTTATGAACCCAAAATGATTATGTGTTTTCTGTATGTTCTAAGCACCTTCTTCAGAAGTCCACCTGCCTCACAGGCTTCTCTTCTTCTGCCAAGCTCTAGCTTGGAACTGTGCATGAAATAAAGCTTTTTTACTGACTTGATTCTCTAAATGATAAGCAGTGAGTCTTCTTTCCACGACATTTTGGGCACTGTCTGGCACATGAGTTCCTTATGTATGTTCAAGGAGGAGGCAAAAAGGGGTGTCCTGCCAGAATGGGGTTCATCCATACTCCTGAAAGCTAGCTGGGGGCTGGGAAGGGGCATCAAAGTCAAATCCGTTTAGCTGACTTTTCACAGAAGAGGGAGAGTAAAATTACTGAATAGTGTGGATGCTTCTGAAATGCTGCCATGAAGCTTCGGAGACAGGAAGATCTGGGTTCGAGTTCTAGCTTCCTCACGTCCTAAATGGGTGATGTTGGGGGAGTTGTCACCTCTCTCAATGTCCTTTTCCATAAAGCAAGAAGAATAGCTCTTACCCCGTACTACAGGTGGTTATGAGAAAAGTGCTTAGAGGGCACTTGAGTTCTATAGAAATAATGACTCATATTTCTAGAAGACAGGGGCTGGATTTGTAATTTCATGGGCACAGGGAACTTTCAAGTAAGTGAGAGAAATGATTATTAAAAACCAATGATTTGGGGTGATCCAGAGTTCCCCCTTTTTCTAAAGTCCCCATTTCAAAGCTGAGTCTCTGAAGAACAATTTGCTGATAATGAAGACAAAATTAACACTCTCCCCAATCTTGGTCAGACCTCACCCAACCTCACAAGGGAATTAATCTAAGGTGGGGAAGCCCACTGTACTCTTCACAGGTTTGGAAGGGGGGAAATTCTTTTATTAGATTGCCCCAGGCTGGACAATTTGGAGGTAAATGACATGATCAGTTATATCTTCCCAGCTCCTTATTAGAATACATCCATCTCTCATTATATTTCTCTCTCTCTCTCTCAACCAGAGTTAACTGCCACCCTTAGGAACACCCACTCTTCCAAGGGCATATAAACTGTGAGCTCACCACCATGAGAGGTCTTTGGTATTCAAGAGTGTCATTGACTCTTTTATTAATAAAATGCCAGCGTTATTAATGAAATGATTAATTACCCAGAAATGATGTCTCTTGACCTTTTTAAACATCACATGAGGAAATTCCCTCTCTCAATGCAGGCTGGTTCTTTCTAAAACAGGAGGTCTTCAACTGGAGTCCAGGAAATTGATTTTTTAAACTGTGTTTCAATCGAATTGGTTTTCCTTGTGTTCCTATGTAATGTTTATCTTACGAAGTGAAAACCACCATTCTGAGAAGGTATTCAGAGGTTCCCACAGGCCTACCTGAGGGGTCTGTGAGGTTAAGCAGCTCTGTCTTGAGCCTCTGAGCTACCTAAAGCAGAAAGGTTAAACTCAAATAAAAATGCTGGCTACTTAGAAAACCATATATTAACATTATTTACATTTTATTGTACTTTTTATTTATTTTGTTAAATATTTCCTCCTTACATTTTAGTGTTTGACACCTCTGGCCTGGATCACCTCTTCCCATATTTACATTGTTTCTTTTTTAAAATTTTAACCAGACCCGTGGTTTCATTGATTTATGAGCTCCCAGCAAGGAAAAGCTCTTCTATTAATGCAGATGAATAAGCATTTTCCCCTCCTCCTAGACTCCCATAATTTAAGGGACACTAGGGAGGTTATGTGACTTGCCCAGTATGGTTGGACTTTGAGGCTGGCTCTCTATCCACCCCTGCTAAGAGCAAGAGTCAGGATTCCAAACTAGGTCTTTCTGATTCCAGATCCAAATCTCTTTCTAGTCTTTTCAGTTGCCTCTGACTCTTCATGACTCATTTAGGGTTTTCTTGGCAGACATACTGGAGTGGGTTGCCATTTCCTTCTCCAGCTCATTTTACAGATGAGGAAACTGAGGCAAACAGGGTTAAGTGACCTGTGTAGGGTCACACAGCTAGTGTCTGAGCCCAGATTTGAACTCAGGTCCTTCTGACTTCAGGCTTGGCACTCTATCCATTGAACCAACTAGCTGCCCTCTTAGCTTGCTGAGCAGTGATGGGGATGTGGAAAACCCCTTTATCTTCTGAGACAGCCACTTAACAACACACACCAATTCGTTGCATACAACTGGCTTCAAAGCTTTATTTTCTATGTTCATAGTTCAAATGCAACATTTGTTTATACATGCAAAGAGCCACAGGATGAGGCCATCATTTCTCTAGGTCATCTCTGTTGCAGTCCTGGATCACATTTTCAAAAGTTTTTTTTTTCTACGAATAGGAAATTCTTCAGTGGTAAAATATAAAAGGACTTCTTTACATCTGATACTTTGTAGGGCAAAGGAGCTCCTGAAAAAAATTGCTAGCATCCCAAAGTAAAGATACACTCTTTTCATCTGACATTAAAAATATAGGCCTTTGTGTACTGATGTGTTCTCTATAACCTGACTGGGGGTCCTTTCTAGGATGTCTAAAGTGCCCATGATCTGGCTTAGATTTGTTCAGAGTTCACAGAGCTAGCCTGCTTGCCCATAAGGCAAAGGTAAAAAGCAAGGGTGCTGGGACAATAGAATTGTTTTTTCTAGCAGAACTCAATTTCTGTCTGCCGCCACTGCCTAAATCTCTGAGGAATGATACCGGCAGAAATATTAGAAAATATAATATATATATATATGTATATATATTTTAAAAACCTGACAAAGCATTCTTGGAGTTGCATTCATACAAGGACGTGACACCAAGGAAGGTGGCATTGCTTAGGAAAGAAATGTGGTACAAAATATTTTCTATAACACAATATATTAATTTGGGGTGCTCCATATTTACAGGGACTATAAGGCTATCTGGAATGAGATTTATTTAAAAAAAAAACAGATGCTCTGTATAGTAACTCTATTTAATATGCTGGGACACAGCTGGCAGGGAAAGCAGTCTGCTGAGATCAGGGACCACTTCTCTCTTCCTCCTTCCTCCCCACCCCTATCTCCCCTTATAGGAAACTGGACTAATTCCCATTTCCAGGAATTTGGAGTGTGCATTCCAGAAATGATCTCCCAAGTGTGCTGGGGAATGAGAAAGAGAGGGGAGATGGGAGAGCATCTCTTTGGAGCCCTGGCCTTTTTCTACTTTTAAGAATTAACATCCTAGAAGTCTCCTCTACTACATTTCCTGAGTATAGCGCTGGAATTTATCCCCAACCGCCTTCATCTCCTGCTCCACAGGTCAACACCAGAGCCACGCTCAGAAATCAACGTCTTGAGTCCAACATGGACTTGTTCACAGTCTCTTCTTCTTGGATGGAGTGACTCCTCACTTAGCAATGGACACAGCCCCACAACCACTTGGCAGGTTCTGGGGTTTGCCTGCCCAGGGCACTGGTCCCATTCAGACTTGGGCATCACCTTCTTGGCACAGGACCACCCACCTCATTCATCATCCCACCACAGCCATTGGCTCCCAGCCAATTAAGGATAGTTGCCCACTGCCCAGGGAAGGTTGGAGGTGTGGGTCCATCCCTGTCTTCATGCTGAGAACACCAGAAAGCTACACTTGGTTCCCTCCTGGACCACTCATTTCTAGTCGCTCTACAATACCGTTCTCCTGACATTCTAGTCCAGCCACACACCACGGGGATTGTTGGCTGCGGACTATAAAGAAAAAGGCACATTGAGATACTTTGGGGTGACTTCTCTTTACCCCACCCTCCCCTCCCATTTAAGCTTGGCCAATTTTTAAAGGGATGATCCCCAAATAGTTAAGAGATGGATTTGGTATATCTTATTCATGCTCCCCCAAATCACACATTGGAAAAAAGAACTAAGCTTTAAAAGGCTTGCCTTTCTTGGGCTGGGCCACTGGAAGTATTCAGGGTGGAGAGGGTCATTCTATTCATGTCTTTACTTTCACTAGGTATCCATTTCCCAAAATCCAAGAGGCCAAAGAGACTTGACCTGAGTTCTTGGTGAAAACATTTAGGTCCGAATTTAGCCATGTTTTCCCTCCTCTCCCTGGGCCCCAACCGGGGAGTTTCTGGGGTTATCTATTGCACGCTTAAGGATCTGCATATTTATAATTGTGCACCAGTCCTGGAACCCTAGAGAGCCTCTAAAAGATTAAAAACATCAATCGATAAGGCAGCCAGCAGCTACAGTTTGTAGGGCTGAGGTTTCTTCCAGATAGTTTCTTTCCAGGCCTTCTTGGAATCATTTGCTCAACTGATTAGGTTTAGGGACTTCAGAGTCCAAAAGTTTGGCCTCTTTTCTCTCTCCCTCTAATGACGCAGCAGAAAGATGATATTCATGGAGACCGCACGAAGGATGAGCGGGATTGGTACAAACAAACAAGGAGATATCATTGGACTCTGGGGCTTAGAAATCATCCCAAATTGATGGCTGTCTTACTGGGCCATTAACAACCCGGGCTCTTGGGCTCAAAATAAACCAAATTCCATGCCCTCGACATGAGATTTCTGTTTCAGGAGAATTCCTTGGGAAACCAGAGTTCCAATTGGACATTCACATCCATGTTATTGCAAGGCTAAAGATTCCCAATGGGGTCTCCCAGGCCAGAGTCCCGGAGTTTAGATGGCAGACAATGGAGGACAAAGATCTCTTGCTCATTGGGACCAACAGGTCCCAGCAGTTGGCTGTTGCCAAAAGATGGAAGAAAGAGGGAAAGAGAAAGCTTGCAGGTGAAAGTGATTTCACGTTCTCAATATGGCTTGCAGGCTCCTAGAAGAATCACCAAATAGGGAGGTATTGGTGAAGAGGAAAATAGCTAAATTGCCTTCAAAATGACTGAAACCTTTTCCAGTCTACATGAAGGCCAAACTTCCAAAGAGGGCTCAAGCCTGGAGATAAAACCGGTGGATATTCCTGGGAAGTCATGGAGACAACCTCCCATTTTGACAGAGAGGTAAATAAAAGTTAGTTATGTCTTAGCTAAACCCAAAGTGAACCAGTCACCAGCGTGTTCGTGAGGGATTTCTAAGTATCCTCACTGCTGCGTCAGCAAAGACCAAAACTTAAAGAAAGCAGAAGGGTACATCTCATAGCCCTGAGCAACGGGCCCATTTTAGCGGTGTTGGGGAAATAATGGTTAAAAACCAAAAGTTTTCAACATGAGGGACTTTAGAGGTAAAGTCCCAAAGGACGGTTCTATTGCTGTGAAGTTGGTTGGTGAATTTCAAGAAGGAATTGGAGTTTTTCTTCCTAGCCCAGAATCTCGCTCTGCAGGCCTTCGAGGTTTGGAGTGAGGGACATTTCTTACTCCCAATTAAAATACTGTCCGGTGGATGTCATCACACTGATCAAACACAGAGGGCCACATCCCATCAGGAGTTCAGTACAGACCAGTGCCCCTTGATCTCATCCCCGTCTAGAAATGTAAACACAGCAGCTAATGAAGGAAGGGAAATCTCTGGGAATGTGCGAGCCACTTAATGAGACTGTTGGCTGGAAAAGCCCTCCAGTGTTGACTATTTCCACATTGCTGCATGGGGAAAGATACAAATTAGGACTTAAAATGATCACATAGCTGGAGGGGGTGATGCAGGGGGAAAGCACGTCCCACTAAACAGCCGTCTTTCTCTGTAACCACTTCCTTCTGAAACATGGGAGCTGCCTGGACACAGGTGTTCTAGGCTCTCCATGGAGGTCACTTCCAACATGAGGTCCCTTAAATATACACTCACTGGCCACTAGAATACTTAGTTGCTGGGCAAACGCCGAGGTAACTGCTGTAAGGGGTGAGAAAAGAACCCTGGACTCCATGAAGCAAATGTAGAATGGAGGTTCCAGACGCAACTGAGTCTGGAGGAAGACAATGGTTTCTCTTAAAGGGGTCCAGTGGAGGAGCTCCCTAGAATGATCTCAACCCACAACCTCGTCCTTGCCTGGAAATCTAGAGTGGCAATGTTTGATGCTCTTCAACAGGAAAGGAGGGAGAGGAAGGCGGGGGAAGGTTTCACCAGGAAGCCATGGTTGGGAGTTCAATGACCATGAATTCGAGGGGAGGGGAGAAACATAGACTTCCTGGCACCTTTCGTCTTCCTCCCATCAGACAAGGCAGAGATGTGCATATTCAAGTTCTCCACGTAGAGGTCAAGAGTCCCCTCTCATTCTCAGGGTGGGACCAAAGAATGCATCGTCCGCCCATGGACATCTCAGAAGATTTTGGCCCGTGATGCTCTGCGGCTGTGCGAGCTGCTGGCATTTGCGTCTTCATGGTTTCTTTTAAACGGGGTTGGCACAAAGTTTGTGGCCGCTTATGACCCACTAAATGGCTGTGTGTCTGGGAGGTCCCCACTGGTCAGCTGGGATATTGGGCGTCAGGTAGGAGGGAATGACAGGGTCAGGGGGGCTATCCGGAAAAGCTTCCATACCCAAAAGGCAGATGTGTTTGGGGGAACTCAGTAGCCCTAGACATTGCAGAGGAAGGCAGTTCATGGGCACTTTTGCTTTAGAAAGGGAGTGGACAGAGGGAAACTACAACCTCTTTGACCAGTCTCTCCATCCATCTCTCGGCTCTAGTCCTGGGAGAGGTTGAGAATCTCAGGAAGTCCATTCCTATCTACATTTGGGTTTATTTTTTTGAAAAGAGCACTTTTTTTTATAGACAGGGCAGAACAACAATAACAAAAAAAAGAAGAAATCAAAAAATACAACTGAATACGGAATCTCTAGGCATGCTGACTACAGAAATGGCTCCAGAAAGAGGAGAATCCCAGGCAGCCAAGGTCCATCCCGCTCGCTACCCTGGGGCCTGTGTGGCTAAGGTTCCGGTCAGTAACACAATGGGCCACATTTCCTCTTAAGAAGCCCAGAGACTCCAGGGAGATCGGTTAACCCACCGAAATCAGAGCAGAGGGGAAGGAAGAAAAAGATATGGGTATTTACAGAGACAATGACCAAAATAATTGGGTGGAAATAACCTGAGGTGTTTGAAGCCATGAGACCAGCTCCACACATCACACATGCCTTCCTTTTCTTTTCACATAAAAAGCCCATCTACAGATAGGAAAGAGAATCAATGGAATTATTGCTTTGTGCCCCTCCCCCTCCCTCTAAAGAGCAGAAAATGGCGCTCCAATGAAGAGGTTGGTCCAGCACTGCTAACTCGGACACATCCCTGCCACCAGGCCGGACCTCCACCTCATCGACGCATTTTACAATCAGGCCTGCAGATCTCTGAGGGTAAGTAACTGGTGGGAGTATTGATCAAGAACCGCTATATTACAGAATCAGCAGCGTACCCTGTGGGCTGCGGGCATGGCAGGAAACCCATCGGTCTTTCATGCCCCACAGAAACTCGATTTTTTTTTCAGCAAGGATTACGGCACGGTGAAGAGAGACGTGGGCACGATCCCAATTCAGATAGTCCCAGAGACCACAGAGACAAGTCCAGCCTCCACACAACCCTCCCTGGCAGATGTGCAAGGGATGCGTTTGTCTCGGAGGCTGCTGAGGATATCTGAAGTGGTGGACATGAGGGATTTCACTGAAAACAAAACAAAACAAGAGAACAGAGAGATCGTGCTCCCCGGCCCTGAAGGGCAACCTGGGGAGACTGGGGAGGACCAGCCCAGGCTTCGAGTTCTGTCCCAGGTACTCTCCTTCCCCGTAGGACCCAACAAGAGTTTCTTCCCTTCTGGGACTGGGAATATACTAAGCAGCTTTCTTGGCCCATCAGGCACCTAACCGCAGAGGCAGGAAGCAAACAGCAGCAGAACTTTTGTCTTCAGGTTTGGACAATTAAGGCTTCTGTTAATGAGACTTCAGCATTCTTGTTTACCTAGGAGGGAAGGGACACAGTGAGCCAGGGGACAAATACTGGCCATGGTCTAGTCACCTTGAAAACATGGGTGTGTATGGGTGTGTGTGTGTGTGTGTGTGTGTGTGTGTGTGTGTGTCTACCTACACAACTGCAGCTAGCTGATAAAGAGCTACCAACATTTAATGGTCTAAGCAAAACAAATTAACAGAATCACATATTATGGAAGTAATGGAATCATATATTATACATGCATATAAAGTGCTTTGCCAATTACGTATTGTATTTTACATATAATAATTTTATATTACATGTAATTATTTATATTTATAATTTGAATTATTTATATATAATATATTCTATGATAATAATATATCATAATACTATGTTATTTTATGATAATATATTTATGTGATACCATAGAAAATATATACTGTATATTGTTTATATATATTACATATACATATATATATATATTACATATACATATAAACACATACACACTATATATACTATACTACATATACACATACTATCTATGGTATGTGTGCATATCATATATACACTATATATAATACTATCAATACTACATACTATAGTATGTATTAAATACTATAGATAATATATAACACTAAATACACCTTCATATAATATAATAATTTAATATAATATATATGATAATATATTAAATGCTATATACAACATACTATATATAATAAATTACTTATATATGAATACACGATGCATTGTAATGTAGTATATGCTACTATTTGATTATATATAATATAGTATCATACATATAATAGTAAATAATATACAATACATAGTATATAATATACACTATTATGTAATAATTATTGTACGATGTAGTATGGTATACAGTATAGTATATACATGTAGTATATAGTATATGTGTATAGATATATGTATGTAGTATATAGCATAAGTGAGACTCTATATATCCCTCAGTGTTCCCTTTTCCAGGATAAAATGAGCAGTAGCCACTAATCCCTTTCTAGAATGCTTAACATTTCCGGAAGCACTTTCCCCTAAACAACTTCATAAGGTGGGCAATACAAATATGATTATCTACATTTTACAGATAAGGAAACTGAGTCTCAGGAAAGAAATCAAGTGACCTGCCCATGGTCACTCAGCTAATAAATGCTGGAGATGGGATTCCGACCCAGCACTGAAGGCCCTGTCCTGCTTTCTTTTCTGCTGGTGCCTGTTCATTCAGGAACCATCCCTGAATCCTTCAGTCTTTTCCTCATTGAGGCATTTCTACCAGCCTTTCCTCACACAAATCTCTGCAGAATGGTTGGGAAGCCTCGGCCCCCTGGATAGCATTCCCCTGCCTTCACGGCCGCCATATACCTTTTCAAGCTTGATTCTCATACTGGCTTTGCCTCTTCTTGGATTTCAAATCTTTCAGCCACTGTGGAGACGTTTCCTCTGACCTAGGACCAGAGAGCAGGGGAGAGCTGTTGTTTCAGAGGGCCTCTGCTAGAAGGTACCCCAGAAGCCAACCCCCCCATTTCACAGATAGGGAAACTGAGGCCCCGAGACTGACTTTCCCAAGGTAAACACCATCAAATGTTTTTCACACCTTTATTTTGTTTGAAAACACACAGAGAATATTTTTAGTTAGAGCGTAGGAGGATAGGTAAGGGAACTCTTTGGCTCCAACCCCACCTAGAAAGTCAACAGAGTCAGGAAAACGACTTGGTTAGGGAAGGGAAGACCAGCCGGAGGTAAGAGAGATTACAGTACTATTGGATTTAGAATTTCAAGTCTAATTAGTCTACCTCTTACTTTTTAATAATTAAACCAAGAACACCAGCTTAAAACAGAACAAAACCAAACCATCAGCAGCTAATAGCTAGCATTTATATACCGCTCGAGGCTTGTCAAATTCCTTATGCCTATCATCACATTTGGTCCATACTACAACCCTGGGAAGGAGGTGCTATTATTGTCCCCATTTTACAGATGGGGAAAGAAAGGCAGACAGAGGTTAAGTGACTTGACCAGGGTCACCACAGCTAGTAAATATGTGAAGCTGGATTTGAACTCAGGTTTTTCTGACCCTAGGCCTAGTAATCTATCCACTACGCCATCAACAAATATTTGTGCCTGACACTGTACTAGATACTTGAGATATCAACAAAAATGAAACTGTTTCTGCCCTCAAGGAATTTATAGGAAAGCTATGACGGGATAAGGAAATAGAAAGTTATAACAAGTAATTTGAAGAGGGAGAGAGAACTAATGTCAGAAGGATTAGGAAAGGCCCCGAGTGCTGTGCTTTGAAGGAATCCAGAGAGGAAGAAGTGAGGAGGCCCATCTGTTCAAAGGTGTGGAGGGTAGGAAATGCGATGGTGTATACAGAGAACAACCCACAGAGCTTGACTAGAACAGAGAGCAAGTGACCAGAAGCCACATGAGATAAGACTGAAAGGCAGGTGGGACTTGGAATGCCAGCCTGAGTATTTTGCATTTTATTCTGAAGCAATTGGGAGCCACGGCAGATTTGTGAGTAGGAGAGGGCTAAGGTCAGACCTGTGTTTTAGGAATTTCAGGCTGGTAGCTGGGCAGGGGATGTATCAGCACTGGGCCTGAAACCCGGAAGACCTCAGATACTACCTAGCTGTGTGACCCTGGGCAAGTCACTTAACCTTCATCTGCCTCAGTCTCCTTACCTGTAAAAGGGGATAATAATAGCACCGACTTTGCAAGATTGCTGTAATAATTGTACAGTGTTTAATAGAGTGCCTGGCACATAGTGAGAGCTATATAAATGTTAGCCATTATTTTCATCATCATTAGAGGGATGCCTAAGAGAGAGACGAGTCAGAAATCAACAGTAACAATCAGGTGAGAGGTGAGTGGAGAGAAGGTGTGCATGTAATGGATGTTAAGATACCAAGGGAAAGATCCTGGCCAGGTTCACTGGGTAAGCTGGGGAGATCAGGGAGGTGAGGAGAGATGGGGACATTTCTCACCATCTCTCTTCCTCACAGTGGGCAGACCCGCTCCCTGGCTGAGAACAAGGGCAGGGCAATGCTGTATCACATCGCCAGCCCCCACCAATGTTGTGTGGGGTCCCCCAGCACCAGGAGGGAAATGAGGGCCCTAGCTCAGACTCTCACTAGCTGTGCAATCATGAGCTTCCCTGCTCTTACACTCAGTGTCCACATCCAGAACATTTTATATTCATGTGCATAATTATGCTTGGCCTACCTGTCTCACAGGGCTTATTCCAGCGACCACAATATAATACCCAAGCTGACTAAGTGATCCCCAAGTAGCCCTTTGCTAAGTTCAGTGATTAACCATGATCCCAAAGGACTGAACACCAAGGATGCTTCCCACCTCCTAGAACAGAAGGGATGGATACAGGCTGCCAAATGAGACATGTATTTTTTTGAGCATGGTCAATATGGCAATTAGTTTTGCCTGACTATGTATATTTATTAGAAGGTTCTGGCTTATTGGGTTTTTTTTTAACCTCTTGGGCAAGTGGGAGGAAAAGAAAATTGAATTTTGTTCATTGAAAAATGTAAAGTTTCACTTAAATAGACTTGCCAAGCCACAGAAAACCTATCTACCTGAATGGTCCCTGTGTGTCAGAGGAAAGGGTTGGGCTGGATGGCTGGTGAGCTCCACAGCCAGGATGCTGGGACTCGGTTAGGAAGGATGCTCACTCACCTCTCCTCCTTCTCCACACTGGAGGGTAACACACGACTGCCCAGGACTCCAGGCTGGAAGGGGGACTTGGGAGACTTGGACAGCTGGGCTGAAGCCTGGACTTCTCCGGGGCTGTCTGACTCGTTCCGCTTCCGAAGCTGAGCCTGGAAGAAGAAAACACCGTACCAGCTCTTTAGCTAGGTCCAGACATTAGAACTATGATAGAGATGCCAGCTTTATTTGGGGAGAATCTTCTGAGCTTGGCAAATAGGGAATGAGGTGTGTGGTGGGTGCCAATCTTAATTAGCTGTATGACCCTGGGCAAGTCATTGAACCTCTATAAGCCCGGGTTCCTCATCTAGGGATAGTAACCATACTGAACTCACCAGGTTGTGGTGAGAACAAAATGAGATAATATCTGTAAAGTGTTTTACAAGCCTTCAAGCACCATGTAAATGCTAGCTACTACTACTAGTAGTGATAAGAATAAGAATAATCCTTCAATTACTATGTAAATGCTAGCTATAACTCCTCCTAATGATAATGATAATAAAAATAATATCCTTCAAGTACTATGTAAATGCTAGCTGCTACTACTACTACTACTACTGCTAATAATAATAATAATAATAATGATAAACAACCTTCAAGCACTGTAGCAAAGTGAGTTATCATTAATAGTGATTAGAATACACAAAGACTTGAGACTTCCTCAGCACAAGGCATTCCTGGTATGGGGACTTCTCCCCACCAATACAGATCAACACCTATCTCTGATTTAGTAAGCAAAGTCTAGAGAGTTCTCTGAGTCCCACAGATGCCACAGGTCCCTGAAAGGGACATTAGAGGTCTTTTGCATACCGCCAGATTAAAATGGAATTGGGAAATATTAAACAAAATAAATAAAAGTATAAGGGAACATAGAGAGTGTTAATGTGTAGTTTTCTAAGTCAATATGTAGCCCCCATTTCTGTTTGACTTTGACACCACTGAGTCCTGCATTTCACAGATGAGGAAAACAAGGCCCACAAACGCCCGTGGTAAGCATCAGACATGAATCCAAGTCGTCCTGACTCCAAGCCCAGAACTCTCTTCAGAAGGCCATGGTGCCTCTTTTGATGACGATGAAGACACTGTCTGGATAGGACAATTCCCCACCTCTCTTTCCAAGGACACAGAGGCACTGACCTGAGCCAGCGGCCGGCTGAGAGTGGCCGATCTAACCCGCTCATGAGAAAGCCAGGCAGCCATACCTTGAGCACAGAAGGATCCACGCCTGGGAAGATGGGGAGCCTCTGGGGCTGGCTAAGCGTGGTCCTTTCTGACCTGGACGGCTTCTCCTCTTCATCCGACGACTCCTTCTTGATTGATTTCTCTTCTGTTGGCAAAGACGGGGCAAAGAAGTCACTGTAAACCACAGAATCAAGCCACAAATCTCTACTGGGGGCAAGGCTCTGTTAGACTACCCAGGAGAGGCAGTAACAGAGAAGGTACAAGCCCCATCCCACCGCCTGCTAGCTGGGTGACCCTGTACAGGATGCTGCCCTCTCTGGGGTTCAACTTCTTCATGCATCAAATCAAATGGAGAGAATCACTGCCCTGCCCTCCTTCAAGCGTTCATACAACAACAACGACGATGATGATTTTAATAACCGCCTACATTTACATAGCACTTTCCACATCTACTAGGTTCTGTGCTGAGTACAATTATTACCTCTGTTAGTCCTCACAACAGCCCTTAAAAGGTGCTATTGGGGGGTCGCCAGGTGGCGCAGTGGAGAGAGCTCCAGCCTTGGAGTTAGGAGGACCTGAGTTCAAATCTAACCTCAGACACTTGACACTTACTAGCTGTGTGACCCTGGGCAAGTCACTTAACCCCATTGCCTAGCCAAAAAGCAAAAAAAATAAAAAAGTGCTATCAGTTCCCCCATTTTGTTGTTACCTGTCTGTTTTAGTCACAACTGACTCTTTGTGACCCCATAAGGGGTTTTCTTGGCAAAGACACTGGAGTAGTTTGGCATTTCCTTCTCCAGCTCATTTTACAGATGAGGAAACTGAGGCAAAAAGGCTTAAGTGACTTGCCCAGGGTCACACAGGCAGTAAGTGTAAGTGTCTGAGGCCAGATTTGAACTCAGGTCTTCCTGAATCCAGGGCAGGTGCTCTATCCACTGTGCCATCTAGCTGCCCCATACACAGGTGACTTTCTGCAGACAGCCTTTCCTAGTCCCCCTCCATGCTAGCACCTTCCTTCCAAGGTTGCTCCAATTTATCCTGTCCATAGCTAGTCTGTGCATAGCCATGGAGTGTTATGTGCTCCCTCATTAGCATGCAAGTTCCTTGAGGGCAGGGTCTGATTTCTCTGTATTCCTGGCAGAAGGCCTGGCCCACATTAAGCATTTAATAAATGTCTGGTGACTGACTGGCTGAAGAAGAAATGGCAGAGATGGAATTTGAACTCAGGACCTCTGATTCCTAAGCCAGG